TACCAACCCAGCTCCTCCCACAATGCTGTAAGTAGATGAGCCAGCCATCTAATTCTGCTCATAACTTTGCTGATTGATTGAAAGCATCCCACTCCAGGAATCTCCCCTTCTCCTTTATAGCCTAACAATATGTTATATGAAGAATATTCAAGACAGTTATGCATGTAAACTTGAAAACTTTACCTTATCCTCCAAAATTTCTGCTTGGTAAATCCTCCATAGAGCTTAGAAACAACTGCTATTTCTGTAAATCATGTTCCTATCTTTCAAGACATTACCATTGCACACTTCTCCAATAGGGGACTCTCTCATCCACTGTCTTCTCTCAGTCACCTGACTCTAATTATCTTAAAGTTGGAATGTTGTGTCCTTCTTGGGGACTTCTTCTGTTACATTAGTACCTCAAGTATTACCCTCTGTTCTTGTGGGTAACTCCTACTCATTTCAACTTCTCACCTTACTCAACTTAAAAAAAAAAAAAAAAAAAGTGTTCTCTGTGCCCATGGACTTATGACCCACTTGCCTAGAACTCTGGCTCCCATGTAGCACTCCTTATTTATTATTAATTTTGTGAACTATTATTTATCACTATATTATTGGGGGGTTTTCTTTTCTTTTTTTTTCTTTTTTTTTTTTTGTTTTTCGAGACAGGGTTTCTCTGTGCAGCTTTGGAGCCTATCCTGGCACTCGCTCTGGAGACCAGGCTGGCCTCAAACTCACAGAGATCCACCTGCCATTTGATTAGATCAGCTGGGATTAAAGGTGTGTACCACCAATGCCCGGCAGGGGGTTTTGTTTTCTTTCAAAGTGTTTTTTGTTGTATTTGTGCTGGAATGAGAATGGAAGCCATATATCTCTTTATGCCACTTTAAACCCAATATTTGACTCTTTAAAGTCATTACTAAACATTTTGTTTGTACATGGAAGATTGTAGTGGCAAATTCCATATAGGAAATTTTCATTTTTTTCTAACTTTTAGTAATGCTTTTTATAAGTGGGCACCATGAGTGACAGGAAAAGGCTTCTAGTGTTGGATTAGATTTTAGTTTGTTCCTCTATTTCCCTTTTGGTATTACAGATATGAGACGCTGAGAAATGGCTTTGGTTCCCAAGTAAATTCCATCATATGATGCATGCACTAAATTTTCAATGAGATATGCTACAAGAGCAGATGAGAAGCCCAGATAGGAAGTACCAGAGATGACTTACGTGGCCCATTGACTATGATACCACCAGACAGAGTCTTGACATTGGAATAGGTGAAGATGTATGAAGTGAATTCTGCAACTTGTTCTACAAATTCACCACTTAGCTCTTCTTCTCTAATTGTCTCTAGTTTGGAAAGATACTTCCTCTGAGCAGGCCTGTCAAAGACAAAGCACTTTCTCTTTGGGAAGAACTTCCTGATGCAGAGCCGAGGCTTGTTAAAGTTTTCACTTTTCTTATCAGATCCTGCAAAAAAATGAAAATTAGATATAGTAAACTTCAAATGAATTACTTCAATACATGACACTTCCAATTCCATAGCTTCTACAAAGCCTATGTAAACTGAAAAGCACCAAATACAGATTAGTGATACAAACTTAAAGGAATAGGAAAGAACACACTCTTTTCCTAAGAAGCAGCTTGTGAAATTTCAAGCTCAAATAACTTCAAGTCCAAATGATTCAGTGAAGCTGTGTTTCATTTCCTACAACTGTCAGGATAACACAGCTACAAAATCGAGACCTTTTTCAACTGTGCAGAAATGACATTTATGAAATTGTTTTCCCTTTGTATCAGAACATTCCATCAAGCCCAGGTACCTTTTTTCAGGGTCAACGAATGTTCCAGGTACTCATCAGCAGTGATGGATTTTCCATTAGCTTCTAGCTCCAGTGAGAAATCTCTCAGAGCCCACACAAAGGTTGGAAAGAAACCTACAAAGTTAGCTGAGTCATCTACCCCACTCTGCTCAGGTGATGACTTTGATTTGATTAGATCAGTCAGCTCTGTCACATAACTGAGATGTTAAATTAAGGAAACTATAAAAACAAGTTTACTATTTCATGATAAATATTCTATGCATGACTCCCCAAATTAATGCTGTGTTTTTGTTTTTAGCTGTGTTGGTTAGTTTTTGTCAACTTGACACAACTGGAGATGCATAGGAAAAAAATACCTGAACTGAGTAAATTCTTCAACTGATGAATTATTCTATCAGCCATGTCTGTAGACATGTCTGTGTGGGGACATTTTCTCAATTACTAATTGATGCAAGAAGCCCAAGCCCCCAGTGTGTGGTGCTATCCCTAGACAGGTGGTTCCTGGTTGTATAACAAATGTAACCCAGTAAGCCACAAGAAGCAACCCAGTAAGCAGAGGTCCTTCTTGGCCTCTGCTCTAGTCTCTGCCTCTGGATTTCTGTCTTGGCTTCCCTTGATGCTATACTCTAACTTGTAAACCAAACAAACCCTTTCATCTCCAAGTTGCTTTGGGTCATAATGTCACCACAGCAACAAAAAGGAAACTAGGACATTAGCTCATCCATTGCTAGAATTTAATCACTTGCACACATCTATTGAGCCCCTGATATGAATCAGGCACAGTTCCAGGGAATAATTTTTAAAATAAATGAAAGGATGCTACCATCATAGGGCTTACATTATAACAGATGAACACAGAAACAAAAACAAGTAGACTAAATATTTTAAATTTTTAGAAATTTACTACCATTTTGATGTAGCAAAAGGCCTTAGCTTAAAGATAGAGAATTAACACTCATGCCTAGTTATGCAGAGAAATTCATGTGCTTTCTGAAGTCCCTGATTAGCAGAAATCTAAAGGAATTAGAGGAGTCATCCTACTAAGTAGGAAGCTACCGATGGATTTTGACGGTATAGGAAGTAGATATGATGGTATTTCAAAAGATCACATTGCTGGAATTCCAACTGGTGTCAAGACTGTTGAGAAAGAGCAGCTTGGTCTTTGAGACAGAACAAGAGAAGTGTAGTGACAATGGAGAGAAAATAAGGCTGTCAGTCTAGGGAAGTAGCTTTGCTGATAGAGTTCAAAGCATGTGTGAACTAATACTTTCTAGTGTATGAGGGAACAGATCAATATTACTTCTAAGGTTTGCATCAGAGCAATGTTGTGGAACATGTGGGCATTTACTGTAATGGGAAAGGCTGGAGAAATGTTTTTATAAATTTTGAGTAAATCATCTCTTAAATATTTGTGTGGAGATGAGAAAATTTGAATTCAGTCACAATTTAAATAGATATTTGATGGTGGCTGAAACATAGGTGCACAGAAACCCTTTAGACAGAATGATATTGCATAGGGACCAAGAGTAGAGAATGAAGAGAAGAAGTACAGAAACTAATGAGCTGTGGTATTCAGAGTCACAAAGGCAATGAACAGTTTTCCAGAGAAGAAAGTAGAATATTAGAAAATTAAGAAATTCTAGATGTAAGAACCAAGTGGTTCAGAAGAGAAAAAAATGATTTTTGAAACTCCCCTAGAAATGAAATAATATGACTTCTGAATGAATAGTGATGTGAAAAAGAATACAGTATGATACCCAAAGTTAAGTTCATAGAAATGGCATGGGTGGGTAATCAGGAATGTAGATGGAAAAGAAAAGAGTAGAAGTAACTGGAAGAGAATAGTGAAAACCAATGTCTATTGTTTAACAGTCTCCCAACAGTAGGGGTTAAAATCTTCAGCAAAAGAAGTTTGTGTGTGAGCAAGGGTCTGGTAAAAGACTACAAAGAAAGGTGATGTGGTTTGAAAGCCTTGGCTTCCAAGGAGATCATCTTTCCAATGGCAAAAGAATGAACAAGTGACTGTGAGCTATAGATTGGAGAAGCATAGATAACTGACACCAGAGGTACAGGCTAAAAAGCAATCATCATCTCAAATCTTTTTATGAGTTTGCAGGATAAATATTACCTACAGCATTCTGTGGGTAGTCAGGATTATTTAGAGATAATGGTAATAGTGATTATTGAGAAAATGGGTTCTAAATCATGTTGAGGTTTTAGACAGATGCAGGCTATTGAGCTAGATCGGGATATTCTCAATAGTGTGCCACTAGGTTCATGGCCATGTATGACTTAAGGGGTTTGGACTTGTAGCGGAAACTGAGGCAAACTCACATAATGAGTATAAAGGGATTGGTTAATAACTTAGAAATACTAGGGTCCTTTGTCTATCTGATGAAATAATGAAGCTGTCCTTCCTAGGTTTAATACTGTTCTAGACCACACCAAAAGGATACTGCAGTTGGTCCATGGCCTGCTGGTTGATGGTTCCTATGCTGTTATAGATGAAGGTGCTGCTGAGAAGGACTGCCAAGGCAAAGATCCAGCAATCATTCTGGTTGTCTCCCTGCAGGTTAACGAGCGAAGAAGAGTTAACTAAGAGACTGTCCATCAATTCAAGTAGCCAAATATTGGCCTTTATCTGTCCCCCATTAGCTATGTCATAAAAAGTAATTAATTGCTTCTACATAATAATTTTCTACCTGTTCAATGATTTTATGAATATTCAACTCATGCTCTACAGTTTAAATAAGACAATGTACACATGTGTATATGAGAGCATGAAGGAAACCACACTTAAAGGTCCTTCAGTGGTTTAATCTAAATTGGTATGCTGAGCTTTATTCACGGGACATAGTATGGCAAGGGACATTCAAGCACAAGTGAAAGTGAGGTCCTTCAATAAATGTTTTTGTTATTTGTCTCAGCTTGGGATGAGTAGTAACATGTGATTCTCAATGAACAAAGATATTGTTGCAGATCCTACACTGCCATTCTCTTACTGATAGTCCTATGTGGAAATGACCATTCTTTTAAAACATGTTTTATTACCTTTTTGAGAATTTCAAACATTATATCTTTATCATGATCCCACATTGAATATTCACTAATGTTTATAACGTGAACAGGCAATGATTTGTATCATTGGAATTTCAATCAAAAATTCTCTTTTGGTGTGAAAAAATAACTAAAATACCATGAGCTATCTTCTAAGTGCTAATCCACTGGCTCTTAAATCAACTTGAGGAATTGAACATTATTTAATTATTCAAATGCATAAATCTGGAGTTGGATGGGTACTGCAAAGTGAGCTATTAGTAAGCTACAAGTAGAATCTGAAAGATTTATTTTTACCTTCTCAACATCTTCAAGGCCCTCAGTGTCAAGAAGAACTAGGGTGTGACCAGATTTCTGGGGATGAGGGACACACCACATCCAGATTCCTTTGGTATGAGACTGCACTGTGGAACCCAGAGAGAAGCCTGGAAAGCAGAATGGCATGGGATGGGGAAGGGATTAAATAATGGTGATTCTGATGTTGAGTTGAAAACTAATGTAGTTATATTTGAAAGAGTAAAACAACTACAAGTATTGATTTTAATTACTACCCTACAAATAGGGTGCTTTCAATAACTAATACTGGTCAATACATCCATTCCTTAGTGCTAGACATTTGCTCCTGTTATGTAGACAGTCTAGTGAATGTTTTCTAATTCATCATTAAGGACATTAACTTTCTCAATGAATGTATTTGTTCTTGCACTAAAACATACCTACAACTTTCAACTGGAAAACAAGTGTGCTGTTTAGTGAGTAGAGGATAATCCAACAAAAAGAAACTCCACTGGTGGATAGACATTATCTTTTCCTGTTCTTCCCTCTAGCTGACATTCTTTCCTCAAACTGCTTTTAGGGTACTGGCTACTTGGGTGAACAGAAAAGCGCAAGCACAGCTGTGTTGCTGACACTTACCTGTTTTCTTCCCTGCCAGCTTGTTCATCAGGTAGGACTTTCCTGTGCGGTAGAGGCCTACAATGGCCACCACCACCACCGGCTGCTGGATGGCTGACAGGATCCCTAGAGCTTGCTGATTGATGACAAGCTGATCCTCAGTGTTCTCGATGAGACACATGGGATCCAGCATGTGGATCTCTGAGGCCATGTCCAGCGTGTTCTTTTGTCTCTTAGGAGAAGACAATTGGACAACAATTTCTAGTCAATTGGTGGAATGAAATAGTATGTACTAAAATTTTCCTTTTTTGAGCTATGTTCTTTGTACACTTCTAAAATTTCTGGGACCAAAATTTCTTTATGGCTATCCTATAGATGGTTCACTACTTCTATTTAAATACAACTAATCTGAGGTCCATAGACAACCAGAAAAGCTATATAGTGGGTTCAAAAGGCTGCATATACCATTTCCCCAACTTTGTCCAATCCTAGTATCTTACATACACACAGTGTAGTAATTGACTAGGGTTTCAGCCTTTCTACAACACCATTGCTGAAGCTGCATATTATACCTCCACTTTTTCTTAAACGAGATTTTTGCTAATGTCCTTTTTCTGCTTTGTGATCCAGGGTCCCCCCATTAATCCTCACATCTCTTTAGCTTCCTCTCATCTTCAGAAGATCCTTATTCTTTCTTTATCCTTCATTACTTCAGATCTTAGAAGAGTATATCACAGTAATTTTGTAGAGTGACTTTCAGTTATATTTTTTAGTGTTTCCTTAATGCTAGTTTGAAATTGCATTGGTAAATACTGGGCAAGGAGGTGACAGGCGTGTATTCTGCGATCTTCACTGATCCAATCAACTGGATAGTGATGCTACAAGACTGGCTCTGAAATTATTCTTTGGGGTGTGGTCTCTCAGTTAACAGGATACCTGTCAAGAACTGTTTACTGTTCTGTAATCAAAATTACCACTCAAACAGCAAATAAATATTTGGTAAAAATGTCTAAAATTTTAGTTACCTTGGAAATACGAGTTTAAAATTCATTAAGGTTCCCTCTCACTCCACTGATAATGTGTAGCATAAAGGAAAAAATAGCAAGTGCTTCCTAGGGTGTGGAAAGAGAACCTTTATCTATTGCTGGTGGGAATGTAAAGTGGTACAGCTACAGTGGAAAGCAGTATGGATGTTCCTCAAAAAACTTATAACCACCAGATGACCAAATATCACTCCTGGATATGTGCATGTGTGTGTATTTGTGGTGTGTGTGTGTGTGTGTGTGTGTGTGTGTGTGTGTGTGTATGTGTGTGTGTGTGTGTGCCAAAGATACTTGCATCTTCATTTTATTGCTGCACTATGGAACCACCCTAGCTGTCCATCAACAGATGAATGGAAAAATGAAAGCACAGTACATGTACCAGTGGAAATCTATTCAGCCTTAAGGAAAGATGATGATATATCATCTGCAGAAATAATAGATGAAACTGGAGATCACCATGTTAAGCAAAACGAGCCAGACTCAGAAAAAGAAGCATTGCATATTTTCTCTCATTCATGAAATCTAAATTTGAAAATACCGTTAAATTTATGTTTACAAATATGTGTTCAGACACTTATGAAGTTAGAATAGCAAGAATGAGAAAGGAGGAATAGTTCTAAGGGAAGAGAGGGAGAAAAGAAAAAAGTGTGTCAGGAGAAATAAAGACACAGTAGCACACATTTTACTCTTAGATGCACAAGCGTGTGCATAAACACACATAACAGTCCATAAAAGCCTCACAGGAACTATTTGGAGAGAGGAAAAGTACCAGGAACTATATAGGTAAGGAGGGATGAGGTGTCCTGGGGAGGCAAATAGGGGTAGGCACAATAATATACATTGGTTTAGATGTCTTAATGAAGCCCATTACATTATACAGTAATTAAAATGTGTTTTTTAAAGTGTGAAAACACTTTAAATTAACTTTAAAACACTTTAAATTTGAAAATTACCACTTAGAGAGACTTTTAAAAGCCAGCACATGTAACTTTATTATACTCCATGGCTTTGGTCACTACTTTGAGCATCTGTTAATAATCCAACCTTCTAAATTAACCACTACAACATTTGCTAAAGGTTACTGTCTACTCTTATCATGCCACACACTTACTAACTGGAGGCCTAAACTGAGTAGGAGTATTGTTCCTACTTATAGTCATTCTTTCATTCATTTGGTGTCATCAGTATGGAGACCTAGGTATTTATTCTATTCTTTGTGCCTTAGTACTTTGTGCTCATTCTTTATTTTACTGCCTGGTGTGTCCCCTCTGTTCACCGAGGCTCCTTCAGCTGGATCCAGTGTTTGGCTGGCAGTCTTCCATCACACTCACAGTGCTGCTGTACTTTACTCCACCACAGATTCTTCCAGAGCTAGCTTCTGTTTTTCCTGTGTTTCCCTAGAGTTGAGCATTCCTCCCAAAGAGTTGGTTCCTTTCAGTATACAGTGGTACAAATACCAAAATAGCACACAGAGTACATTCATTGCTCTAAGGGGAAACAGTATCTTCTGGAACAAAATAGGGCCTTTGAACTCACAAAGTCACAGCATCTGTGGCTGCCTCTAGAAAACCTGCATAAAGCCAGGTGGTGGTGGCACTTGTCTTTAATTCCATTCCTCTGGAGGCAGAGGCAGGAAAATCCCTGAGTTCAGGGCCAGCTTAAATCACAGAGTAAGTTCCAGGAAAACCAGGGCTTCAGGGGGAAACCCTGTCTCAAACAACAACAAAAAAGAAAACCTTCATAAAATCTAGCAGTCAAAATTCCACTATGGGTGGGTAAGAGGATCAGGAAGACCTATGTGTAGTTTAGGAGCTACTTGGCAATTGATGACTGCTAGAGGAAAGAGAGCTGGTTTTCTTCAGCGATATGGTCCCTGGTAATTTACCCAGCCTCCAGTAGGTGGCCTTATGCTCATGCCCAAATGACTCACAATAACTTGACTCAATGAGGACATGAAACTGGGAAGAGAATAGTACAATAGGCATGGGGTGGGTGATATGGAGGAAGAGTAAGGAATATATACATTATATACAATAAAAAACACATTACACATGAAATTCTCAAAGAATGAATACACACACATGCACACACACACACACACACACACACACACACACACACACACAGACACACACACGTACAAAGATTTTATAACTTCCTAAATTATCAGTGGGGGAATTGTCTCTTTTTTATTTTTTTATTTTTGCAATGGGCTTAGTAATACTACCCTTATTAGTATTCCTTTTCTTTTTTATCATTTTTTATTTGAATTAGAAACGAGATTTATTTACATAACAATCCCAGTTCCCTTCTCCCTCCCTTCCTCCCCTAACACCCCCCCAACTAAAACCCTACCTATCACATATCCTTTTTTCTAATCTTCACCTGACTCAACCTTTCTGCTCCCTCATGACCTCTGCATCCTTCCTCTTCTTCCCTTCTCATTCTTGTAATTCTCTCCCCCCCTCTTCCCATGCTCTCAATTTGACCCTTTCCCCTTCTCCAGGGGTCAATGTTTGTCTCTTTTAGGGTCCTCCTTGTTTAGTAGCTTCTCTGGCTGTGTGGATTATAGGCTGGTAATCCTTTACTCTGTGTCTAAAATGCCCATATGAGTGAGGAATTGTCTCTTTTTACAACCTCCAAGCAGTCTAACTTACTTTACCAATAGACAGACCTTGGCAACAAGTAGAGGGATTTTGTATGAGTTTTATTAGGCTGTGAAGATGATCTAAAATAGTACCAAGAAAACAATATCAACCTACAAAAAAAAAAAAATACCCTCTCTGTGGACTCCCCTTTACGAGAGCCTAATTAATTCACCATAGTGGGGTCCTGGGCACTGAGAGTAAGCTACCTCTGTTAGCCAACCCTGGCTTTCAAGTGATCTCCAGTCCCACTCACATCTGTCTCAGTTTCAGCCTCCCTTGAAGAGGTCTTTTTAGGGTAAACCCACAATCTGGTAAAGGCTTTCCTACCCCCACCTCTGTCTTACCTGAAGCAAATCCTTCTGTCCCAGAGAAAGCAGCCTGTGTGAAGTGTTAGATGCTGTCTGCTTTGCTTTTGAGCCTGGCTGCAGAACACTGTCCTCACAGACTCTGTGAGCTCCCGCCTTCTGCAATAGTCTAGGAAGTTCCAGATTTTCACCACAGAACTTAGGAGGAGTTAGCTCGATAAAAAGAGCTGTGTTTAGGAAGATGAAAGTGAAAGTGGAAACACAGAACAGAAGAAATGGCTCAACCACTTGAGAGGAGTAAGGGGTGAGCCAAAGCCTCAAATTGGTCAACGAGAGACTGATAACGGTGCTCTTAACTCCAGAGTTTTGTGGATGTTTAGAAAGCTAAGGTGATGCATTTACTGAGAAGGGCTTGCTGTTGAAGTCACTCCCCATTACCTTTTAGTCCATTAGTGTTTGTTTTGTGAAGTTGCCCCACCCCCACCCCACTGAGCTGCATGAAGGTAGCAAGGGATTGCACAGTTCAGATTACACTATGGATTTGTTTAAAACCCATTTCTCTATACTATGAAAGAATAAAGATGGAAAGAAAGAAAAGGGTAGAGTTAGAAGGAACAGTGAGGGAGAAGGAAACGAGAGGGAGGAAAGGAGGAATAGAGGGAAGAATAGAGGGGAAAAGAAAAGGAGAGAGGGAGAGAGGGAGGGAGGGAGGGAGGGAGGGAGG